CCTTAAAGAAGAGCCACCTTGGCTTCTGTAGTCACCCTGGGATGCGGTGGCGTGAGTGTGCTCTCCCCTCCCCTACCTGTGCAGGCTCCCCTGGGCAGGGGAAGCAGTCCTGGAAGGGGGGCAGGGTGCACAATCACCCCCGAGAGTGGGCCTGCTGGGCATGGAGTCCGAGCCCCACCCAGTGCCAGGTACGCTGTAGCCCTTCAGCAGGTACGAGTCGCCCGCACGAGCCCATCAGTCACTTTCCTTTCCTCAGCAGCCAGGGCTGCCTCCGGATGTCGTGCGGGCAGAGGAGGAAGCACAAAGCGGGCCCGGCTGCCTTGCAGCGGCTCAGCATGGAGACTTGTGGCCAGTGGTGTCTCGCCAGAGCCATCACGTGCATTCCCCCTGACAGTGGGCCTGCAGGACAGAGCGGCCTGTGTGCCCCAGGGGGTGCCCCAGGCTGCCATCTCATCTCGTGCCTCCATCCCACTGTCCCCTGGTCACTGGGTGGGTTTGAACCCTGAGTGCTTGACCCTTAAGCCACCAGGGCTCTGTAGACAGAGGTGCAGGGCAACGGACGCCTCTGGAAGCATCGCTGTAGTCAGCCGCACACAGATTGAAAGGCCAGGAGCGGTGGTGGAGTGCAGGAGGCACCTGGGGAGGCCAGGGCAGGATTTTCCAGATGGCCAGCACCACGGATGGCATGAGCCTTCCTCCTCCATGCTGGCTGCCATCAGTCAGCGTCGTGGACCAACGCTTTGTGGCTCCTCTCAGAAAATCCCCTGGCTTCCCACAGGGGCGATCAGGACCCCTGGGAGGTGGGAGGAGGCAGTGCCCCAAAGGCCCCTTCTTTTCTCCCCAAAGCACAGCTCCCCATTCTTCTTGGAGGCTGCCGCCACCTGCTGTAACTTTTGGGGCTCCCTCCTCATTGTTGCCGAGGGGACCGCTTCTCAAAACAAGCACCAGGCCATTTCCCTTCCACGGTTTTACCTGAAGACACAATATTTCGGGAATCAGAGGCCCGTGGCGCCGCCTTCTCTCACGGAGGGGGTGGGGCTAGGGCATTAAATAGGTGGGCGACAGATGGATGAGGAGATGATGTCCGGGGCCCAGTCTGCCCGGAAACCGGCCTCCTGAGAGAGAGCCAGGCCTGCCCCTGAGCCCACGAAGATTCCCAGGGTCAGAGCCCGAGGCAGAGAACCGGCTCTGACCCAAGAGAGCTGACCGTGGGAACCAGCAACGCCTTCCTTTCATCCTTCCTGCTGCTCATTCCCAAGGAGCTGTGCTCAGGCTGAGGGGAGGGAAGTAGGGAAAGCTCTATCCAGGCCCCCATCTGTTTGCTCTCCTGCCCTGTCCCGGGCCCCCAAGTGGCAACTTCTGGCCGTGGCCTGCTGGTGGCGCTGTTCTCTGGACTCCCCTCTTCTCAGATGGGCTCCACTCTGTGTGAGTCACCAGAGCGGCCGTTTCTAGAGCCTCTGCTCTTTGCCAGGCCCTGTGCCAAGGGCTTCTGAACACATACTCCCCAGCCCGGCCCCTCAGACTCGTGCGCCAAGACCAAACAGAGGCTCCAGGCGTCCGCTGTCTGCCCAGTCTTTTAGTCTGGTGATCCAGAGCCGGGCCGGGGCTGTTGTGCCGGCAGAGCTTGGGCTCTCAGCCCCAGCGCCGAGGCCCCTGGGGCTCGGAGCCCAGTCTGGTTTGTGGCTGAGTGATGGCCTGGTGAGAAGCTGCCCAGCGTGGCGTGGGAGGCATGGGGGTGGGGAGAGCCCGCCCGAGCAGCCGCACACTGCTGCCTGTGAGACGGGCCTCTTGGGCAGAGCGGCAGCTTCCCATCTGTGAATAGGGACAGTCCCTTCCTCGCAGGGTCACAGGGAGGGGTCATGAAACAGCATGGGAAAGGGTTGCCATTACATGTGAAATGTTTTCACTCTCAAGCGTCGTTTGGCCTAGAAGTCGTGGAATCCTCCCGCCCTCCCTCTACTCCACCTCCCGCCCCTCTGGTTCTTCCTCCGCTTCCGGTGGAGCTGAAGCCTGCCCTCTGTTCCCCGGGCTGGCTTCCACCCAGGAGCTGCGAGCCCTCTGTGGGGAAGGCCAACCACGCAGCCAGGGCAGGCAGGGAACTCAGTGTTGGCTGACCACCTCCCATGGGGCCTGTGGGGTGGGAGGGCGGAGGTGCCTGGCCTCACACACAGCTGGGCTGCTGGTGGTGGTGCCGAGGATGGGCGATGTGGGAGGGCTGGTAAGCTACTCCCACCAGGGACGGCTGTGAGCAAGCGCCTCCACCAAGTGCTTCCCGATAGATAGGCCCCCGCCCACTCTCCTTCATAGACCTGTGTCATCCGGGCCTGGGACTGCAGCAAGCCCCTGCTCTTCTGCCCGGCCATGAACACTGCCATGTGGGAGCACCCCGTGACTGCGCAGCAGGTGGCCCAGCTGAAGGCCTTCGGCTACATCGAGATCCCCTGTGTGGCCAAGAAGCTGGTGTGTGGAGACCACGGTGAGCAAGGCCGGCCCCTGAGTTCCGCTCTGTCTGGAAATGGGGCTCCTAGTCCTTCCCTCCCAGGGCTTGGGATGCAATTTGGGAAGCAGTTGGTGGAGGCCCTTGCTCACACCGTACCTGGCGGGAGTAGCTGCCCCGTATTCCTTGGGCCTGTGCTTGGGGTGTCTCGGAAGGGCGTGATTTGGCGGGTCTGGCTCAGACAGCGATGGTCCTGGCCCGCTTCTGCGACGGGCTCCGGGTGGAGTGCTTGTAGGAGCATTCTCGTGGGTGCAGTGCCTTTGGCTCGCCTGGCGGGCGGTGGGTCACAGCAGGACTTTGTCCCACAGGTCTGGGGGCCATGGCCGAGGTGGGAAGCATTGTGGACAAAGTGAGAGAAATCGTCTCTCTACACAATGACCGCCAGCAGTGTTGAAGCAGGCTCGCTGGCCCGGGCGTCTTCTGCACTCCGCGCCCGTTGGCACGCCTGATGACGATGCCTTTGTGTCTGTGGAGGGATCTGATCTGGCTGCCCCAGGGGCCTGAGCCCCAGCTTCTTCCACCCTAATGATGCCCACCAGGGCCCCCTTCACATCCTGTGAGGAGTGCTGCTGCCCAGTGCTGGGGCATGTCCCTGCATCCCTGCATGCCCGGGGGGGAGGGACCTCGCACCTTCATCTCGTCCAGAAGCCTGGCAGGAGCTGAGTGGGGCTCCCCCGGCCGGCCCTTGGAGCCTCGGTTCTTGGTGCCACACTGACAGAGGCGCCTGGGAGTTGGCCGAGGCTGAGGTGTCCTCGGGCTATGGCGGGAGTCCAGGGCTCAGGGAAATAAAGCTGACCGGCCTTTCAGGAGAGTCCATCTTTCACTGACCAGGCCATACCCTGCGCCTAGCCTCAGAGCCAAGCTCGGCCATGGCCAAGCGGGTCTGGGGAAAGATCTGGCCTTACAACTGACCCTCCGTCCTCGTTAGTTCCCATTTAACCTCCTGGTCAAGGGCACAGACCTCTGAAGCCAGACCCCACCCCCACCCCCGTCCCCCAAGTTCAAATCCCAGCGCTGCCACTTATGAGCAGTGTGACCTCAGGTGGTGGCCCAGCCTTGCTGACCCTGCCTGCCCTTACCCTTTCTGCTCAGTGCCATCCCCATTTTCTCACCTGGGGGGCTGGGATTCCAAATGGATCCTGTGCACCCAAGACATGGCTAGTGTTGAATTAACAGCAGTGCAACTCACACTCCCTGCCGTCGAGGCCACTCTGACTCACAGGGACCCGCAGGACGCAGCCGAACTCCCGGAAGTTCAGGGACTCTTACAGAGTAGAAACCTCATCTTTCTCCCAAGGAGCAGCTGGTGACGGCCGACTGCTCAGCTTTTGGTCAGCAGCTCCACATCACCCACTGTCCACCAGGGCTCCTACGATGGAAACTCAAGCTAGATTTCCTATACACTGATTGAAATAGCCGGTCTCATTTTGGGAAAAATAAGCCCCTGACCTAAGCCAGCATACCCCTCCCTTAAATAAATCATTTTGTTGGGGGCTCTTATAGCTTTTATAACAACCCAGCCATTAATTGTGTCAAGCACATTTGTACATAGGTTGCCATCATCCTTTTCAAAACATTTTCATTCTACTTGAGCCCTTGGTAGCAGCTTCTCTTTTTATCCCATCCTCGTCGACCCGGATAAATGATAAATTATTATAATGTTCATATCTTACATCATCTGCTGTCTCCCTTCACCCCCATTTTTGTTGTTCATCCCCCTCCCGCAGGGTGGGGGCAGCATACCCTTGATGTGAGGTACTCACACATCACTGCCCAGCAGGGTTGGCCTGCCTCAAGGCACCCCCCCCCAACATCCCCTTTGCCCTGCTGTCCTCCCAGTGTTGCTGCTGCACCTGAGGGCAGCCTCCCCGCCCACCCCCACGGTGACACACCGACACGACACGCCCCAGGAAGGGAAGAGGACTCGGGACAGCGTGCTCTCTGGCCTAGAAACCCTGAGGCCACCTTGCCTCTGACCCACTTGCTTTCTGGGGTGGTCTCTGTGGGGAGGGTCTGGTGCTCCGATGCTGGAGCTCAAGTTGGGGCTGGTTTCCTGCCTGCCAGGTCAGGGATGGGTGGACGGCCCACATGCCCTGGGAGATGAGTAGCAGTGTCCTTGAGGGAACGCTGCTGTCTGAAACCAAGACCTCTAGCCACCTCCGAGAACCTTTATCTGGACCGCATTGGAGTTACCCTGGTGACCTTTGGGGCTGAGCTTGTCACAAGCACTAAAGATGATAGGCACCTGTCACTGCCGCCGCCAGCGATTTGGCGGGAAAGGGTGTGGGGAGAGTATGGATAACCAAAATCCAAAGCCAACCCCAAGTTCCATTCTGATGGTTACAGGCGTCCCTTCTACTTCCCACTGCAACCTGCTGAGGGCCTTCTGCAGGCCAGGCGCCGTGCTGGCCACTGCAGGGAGCACAGCTGCACCAGGGAGACCATTTGAAAAGGCTGCAGTGGACCATGGGAGCAGGCTCCTTTGTGGAGGCCCTGGCTGGTTCCCTGGAAAATAAGCCGGGCTGCTCAGAGCAGCAAGGAGGCATGGACTAGAAGGGAAGAAGATGCCCCCTGGCCTGCAAGCCCAGCCCTGGGGCTCTGTTGGCCTGCCACTCTCTCCTCCACTCACAGGACCCTGGCTGGTGGGGGATGGGCCTGGGCTGGGACTGAGCCCCATCGTTCTTGAAGCCTGACAGGAGCTAAGCTAGAGTCTGAGCTGCACATGCCTGGCCCTGCCTGGTGGCCTAGTGGTTACACATTGGGCTGCTAACCTCAAGGTCAGTGGCTTGAAACCAGCAGCCGCCCTGCGGCAGAAAGATGAGGCTTTCAACGTCCATGAAGAGTTAGTCCTGGAAACCCACAGGGACAGTTGGACCTTGTCCTGTAGGGTTGCTGTGAGTCATTTGCAATTGACTGGATGGCAATGAGTTTGGGTTTGGCTTTTTTCCTGCCAGCAGGGTGCTGGGCAGGGTGGCTAACCACACACGGCTCTCCCCTGGGAGTCAAAGCTCTTAAAGTTGTCATCCTCTCAGACAGAAGTGCGTCTCAGAGAAATGCTAGCTTCCTGGGCAGTTTATAGTGGAATTCTGAAAACATGAGGTGAGATTTCACAGGGTTCTTGGGAAAATTCCGTTCTTTTAAAATTCTATTTCTCCCCCATGAGTTTTATGATGCCCCACCTCATAAATGAGAACATCTGGGAGTCTGAGTCTGCAGGTACTTGTGTGGGGCAGCCTGGTGTGTCTCTAGTTCGCCACTGCTACTGGGGGAGGCCTCTAAGCCAGGGCGACCCCTTCTTTCCACACTGGGCCACCTCCCCAACAGTTCCTCCACATGCCACCCTGTCCCTCTGCTGCCACACAGGGAGGTCCTAACTCCTGGGCAGTACCTGCGGGCCCCTTTGGTCTGGCCCTCGCCCACCTTGCTGCCGCGGGCAGCTGTTCAGTGGCCTCGAATTCGTGGTGGCCTGTACACAGCAGAACAAGAGGCTGCCTGGTCCTGACACCCCCTCCCCCCCTGACCATTCAAAAGTCCATCTCCAGACTGTTCCTCCTCATCCATCTGAGCCTAGAGCTCCCGTGAAACCTGTTGGGCACGATGTGCAAGCTTCCTCCCACAAGTGGTGGCTGCACAGGAGGCGCGTTGGCTGGGAGTCTAACCGGGACTCGCGCACCCCAAACTCTCGAAGACAAACTCACTGCTATCCAGTGGGTCCCCAGTCAGAGCGACGCCGTCGGAGGAAGTAGAGCTGCCCCTGAGGGGCTCTGAGACTGGGACATCTTTACAGAAGCATGCAGCCTCATCCTTCTCCCGTGGAATGGCGGATGGTTTCGAACCGCCGACCTTGTGAACAGCCCAAGACTTGTCCCTCAAGACTCCTCTGAGTCTCTGGCGTAGCACGTGAGGATTGTATCCCTGAATCACGACTGCCCCTCCCTTACCCATCTGGTCCTGCTCCTTCTTTGTCACATGACTACCCCAGAGCGCCTGTCCTCAGGCCAGGCTGGCCAGCACCTTGTTTCTTGCCTCCTGACTCTGTGCACACGGCGGCCTTTCCTGGAAGGCCGTCCTTTGCTGGTCGATCCCGCTCTTGCCCCACATCTCTGGGAAGCCTCCCCTCGCCTTGCCCAGCTTCCCACCGTGTCTCTGCTGTTCACGAAAACCGGCAGTGGACTGGTCAGATGGTCAGGTGACTTTGTGTCCCCCCACAATGGGGAGCTCCTGGAGGGCAGGAGTTGTTCTGTTCCCCGTGTGCCTATTTCGACCCAGTGAGTCATCCCAAGCTCGTTGTACTGACCACAGTGGTGTCAGGATGTCCGGTTCCTTCCTGAGCGAACACAAGACATAGCAGCCTGAGAGATCATGTGAGCAGTTCAGCCCAGCTCTGGCCCCCACACAAGGTCAAAGGACAGACAACAAACTGGACACCATATCTCTGCCTTAAACCACAGGGCTAATTCCCCAGACATAAAGAGAGCCCTGGTGGTGTAGTGGGTTACATAGTTGGCCTACTAAGCACAAGGTCAGCAGTTTGAAACCAAGGCCCGATCCTCTGGAGAAAGACGGGACATTTTACTCCCGTAAAGATTTATAGTCTCGAAAACCCACAGGGGCAGTTCTACCCTGTCTTGTAGGGTTACTAAGGGTCAAGATTGACTCACGACAGTGAGTTTTTAAATATATATATATTGATGAGAAAAAGATAACAAAAGAAAAGCAAGCAGAGAAGAAAAACAGTGCATAGGAAGAGGGGTGGCCAGGAAGCAACTCTAGTAGCGTATTGATGAGGGGGGCATGTGGCTCAAAGGGCCCTGGAATGAAGGCTTCCACCCACCAGGTTGCTGAGTGTGGGGACCTGGCACCCTGATGCCTCACTGGATCCTGTTGTGTCCATCCCAACTTCCAGAGACGCTGTAGGACAGAGAGGAACTGCCCCAGGGGACTTCCAAGGCTAACAGTCTTTATAGAAGCCGACAGCCCCATCTTCCTTCTGAGGAGTGGCTGCTGGATTTGAAGTGCTGACCTCTCGGTTCACTGCTCATCGCTTAACCACTGCGGCCTCAGGGCTTCTCTGAGGTCACTGGAGGGAGTGTAAATTGATACAGCCTCTTGGGGGAAGCTCCTAGACATAGCCACGAACTATTTCATCAACCAGTTCTGTTTGGTTAGCCCTCACGTGCTAACAGAGCACTGTGAGGTCCAGACTTGCCCTGTAGCTCCTTTGGAGACAGAGCTGGTGACCCTCTTGTACAGGTGATAGACCAGGAGACCCTGTGGAGCAGCTCTCCTCTGTACCCAGCCTCCCCGGGCGTCAGAATCAACAAGGCAGCACCCAGCAGGCACTGCAGCAGTCCCACCCTTGGGAATTAGTCCCCACACAGTACTCACTCCCAGGGTCCCAAAGAGGAGCCCCGCTGACGTAGCGCCCAAGGCCTTGGGCTGCAATCGATGAGGTCCGAAATTTGAAGCCACCAAGAGGGCCTTCCCTTCCCGTGAAGTTACAATCTCGGAAACTGACGGGGCAGAGTTACCCTGTCCTGTAGGGTTGCTATGAGTCGGCGTGGAGTGAGTTTGTTTTTACAGTGCTTATAAGGTGGGCTGCTAATCACAAGGTCAGCAGTTTGAAACCAGCAGCCTCTCCACCGGAGAAAGATGGGGCTTCCTCCTCCGGGGGGGTCGCCCTACACTGGGTGGCTGTGAGCAGGCATGGGTTGATTTGTTTTTAATATGGCATTGTTATGCACAAGCAAGACCACTGCAGTCCCCGCGTAAGAAACCAGCGATATGCTCACTCTCTTCACAAAGG